GTCGGAGTTCCCGGTTCGGGAAATTTTGCTTTTGCTTTTCTACTTCTTCGTTCCGCCATGTATATAGCGCTCGTGGTGCTTGGGTGGTACGACGTTCGGATGACTGTATGGCCGGTGATGGAGAGTAGCTCGGCTTAGCACTCGCAGGGGCAACGACCAGCCGGTGGGTAAGCGTGGCGAGAACGGCGGTATCTAATTCAGGTTTAAAACAACAGCTCCTGCGTGGTAAAGGTATTTGAAGGTGCTCAATGCAAAGTTGAAGGCGGCAATGCGCGTGGCCTTGGTGTGGTGCGCTTGGTTGTGTGTAAGTATGCGTGTGTTTGGCCTTTTGTTTGGCGTTTGTTTTGGTTAATAGAAGGTGCTCCCAAATAGTCTAGGCGGTTAGGATACGTGGCTTTCACCCACGCGACCCGGGTTCGAGTCCCGGTTTGGGAATTTTGCTTTGCTTTTTCAATTCTTCGTTCCGCCATGTATATAGCGCTCGTTGTGCTTGCTGGTACGACGTTCGGATGACTGTATGGCCGGTGATGGAGAGTAGCTCGGCTTAGCACTCGCAGGGGCAACGACCAGCCGGTGGGTAAGCGTGGCGAGAACGGCGGTATCTAATTCAGGTTTAAAACAACAGCTCCTGCGTGGTAAAGGTCTTTGAAGGTGCTCAATGCAAAGTTGAAGGCGGCAATGCGCGTGGCCTTGGTGTGGTGCGCTTGGTTGTGTGTAAGTATGCGTGTGTTTGGCGTTTGGTTGGCGTTTGTTTTGGTTCATAGAAGGTGCTCCCAAATAGTCTAGGCGATTAGGATACGTGGCTTTCACCCACGCGACCCGGGTTCGAGTCCCGGTTTGGGAATTTTGCTTTGCTTTTTCAATTCTTCGTTCCGCCATGTATTTAGCGCTCGTTGTGCTTGCTGGTACGATGTTCGGATGAGTGTTTGGCCGGTGATGGAGCGTAGCTCGGCTTAGCACTCGCAGGGGCAACGACCAGCCGGAGGGTAAGCGTGGCGAGAACGGCGGTATCTAATTCAGGTTTAAAACAACAGCTCCTGCGTGGTAAAGGTCTTTGAAGGTGCTCAAT